ACACAGACATAGTGGCAGTACGTACCTATAATCTCAACACTCCTGAGGCAGAGACAAGAGCAGCCCTTGGGCTTGCAAGGCCAATTAGTCTATCCAAACAAAGGAACTCCACTGAGATCCAGTCTTAAAAAATAGGTGGGAGGCCAAAGAGATGACTTAGCCATTAAGAGCACTGGCTGTTCATCCAGAGGACCCAGGTTTAATTCCCAGCATCCATATAGTAACTCAAAACAATCTTCAGTTCTAGGATCTGACTCATTCTTCTGGTCCTTGTAGGAACCAGGCATGAAAGTGGTGAGCAGATATACACGCAGGCAAAACACCCAGATTTGTACTAAAATGAAAATGTCTAAAGGTGTGTAGCGAAGCAGGAAGACATTGGCATTGATCTCTGGCCTCCATAAACATGCACACACATGTGTGAACACACGCAATGATCTTAAGGCACAACCTACAAATCTCAAAAAAAAAAAAAAAGAAAAAAAGAAAAACACCTTAGTTTTGATGTGAGCCCAAAACCAACAGCCAAGGGAAAAAAATGTGGGAAAAGCCATGCTGAACCACCTTAGTGATTCAGTCATCTGATTTCTCCAAAAGCAAACAAAATGGGTCAATCTTACCAAGTTACTACAAGAAAAATGAAAGTAAGTACAGTAAGAGCCCAAGTTAACAAAAGTGCCAGAAACACCCATGAAATAGGTGAGAACTGGAATCTACTATTTCAAATTGAGACACAGCATTACAAAAATGGTTTATAATAAGAAAAGACACTACAAAAAGATTTCTAAACATAAAGAAGTGGTAGAACTCAGGGAAACTTCAGAAACAGTGTCAGTAAGGAGCAAGCAATAAACACAGCCGATGGTGCTTTAAGAGAGCCCCAAGGTCACAGGACACTTTGAAATCACAAGGAATACAGTAAAAATTTTATTAGATTTGTTTTGCTCGTGTGTTTGTGTGTGCCAGTTCATTTGTGGAGGTCAAGGACAACCTGCAGGAGTCAGTTCTCTGTCCATCATGCGGGTTCCAGGTATTGAACTCCAGTCATTGGGCTTGGCAACAAGCGCCTCTACCCACTGAGCTACCTCAGGAGCTGAATAAAAGGAATGAGAGAAAGCAAATAGGGAAGCACTGGAGAGTTAACAGAGTGAAAAGAATTACCTAAAGACTACTAAAAGGAGAAAATAATAAAATTATAATTTAAGGAGTATTCCCTGAAAATATTTTAATTTACAACTGACTGGAAAAACATAACACATACCTATGAATATCAACTCAGAAGAACAACATCAAGTTTTCCAAAGGCTTTATGTCAGAAAAAAACATTTAAGGAAAGCTAGTAGGAGCACAATATTTTACATCCAGTGACAGTGATTTGTTTAAGACATTGACTGTTGACTGAATGGACTCAGGAACTAACTACTTGCTCAGTTAACCACAATGAAGAGCTGAACCTCCAATCACTGAGGGAAAGCAAGAGTATCGCTTGTTTACTGATAAGGGCTAAATAAACAACTGTGGGATATTCTAATTTTACTATGTACATTGTTCTCAAGAGCCATAATTCTCAGGATGACAATTCAAATAAAAATAATATGGTCCTGAATTTGAACCGGACATAAGAACTTCCCCAGAGCAACTACAAGTTGCATCAAAATCTGTAGTTTTACTGGTTAGAAAAAAATGGTTTCTGGATACCACAGCAGCTATCAAGTAAGGAAAAGTATGTCAAAAATAAAGAATCACAAAGAAAAAATTTAGAATTTTGCATGTCAGTTGTGCCCACACCTCTAGCTGGTACCTGATCTGTGTTAAGAGCCAATTCTTAGTTGTCTAAGGTAAGTCTCAAAGACCAGAAAGGCGATGCCAGTGGCTGGGCACCCTGTAATGACAGTTAGGCTATCCTGATAGGTTAACTAGCTGCTATAAAACCATTTTCAAAAAAAGTCAACACTCTCCAGAACACAGCTCATCATTCTGACAGAGATACTGGAATCAACAAGTAAGATACCTCAAAGTAGCTACAGACCTGTTCAAAACTGACAAGTTGAAATACACTTGTAAGAAATGACCAAATTGGAATTTGAGCAGAGGAATAAAAACTAGACAAAAGACAGACTGAACTCCAGAACTCGAAAGCTCTACAGCATAACAACAGGGTTCAGACAGGCAGAGAGGCATCCAACCTAGTAAGCAACTGACTTACATGCAGTTGGTCACAGGGGAGACAACGAAGCAGGGCATAGAAAAGGATGACTAGTCTGACAGAGGTTAAGAGGTCACTCTTCCTCCCCAAGGAAGAAAAGAATAAGAAAAAAATACACACAGGTACATCAAAGTAAAATATCTGAGACCAAGAAGAAGAAAATCTTTTTTTTAAAGATTTATTTATTTATTTTTATGTATATGAGTATACTGTAGCTGTCTTCAGAAACACCAGAAGAGAGCATCAGATCCCATTACAGATGATTGTGACCCACCATGTGGTTGCTGGGAATTGAACTCAGGACCTCTGGAAGAGCAGTCAGTGCTTTGAACTGCTGAGCCCTCTCTCCAGCCCCCAAGAAGAAAATTTTGAGATCTGGAGAGGTCTCTCAGTGGGCAAAGACGCTGGCCACTAAGCCTGACAACCTGAGTTCAATTTTCTTACCTTTACACAGTGTTGCCTGTCTGTCTGTCTCTGTCTCTGTCTGTCTCTGTCTGTGTCTGTCTGTCTCTCTCTCTCTCTCTCTCTCTCTCTCTCTCTCTCTCTCTCTCTCT